GTGGCCGCGTGGCGAACAAAATCACGGCGTCGGAGGTCTGCCGTCGGCGAGGGAGCTCTGCCCTGCGCTGTGCAGGCCCCCGCCTCGGCCTGCGCTCACAAGGGGAGCACACGGGTGCAACTGGAGGAGAGGTGGCGACGAAGAGAACGTTAAGCAGAAAAGGGACGACCTGCTTCCCTGTACTCCGGGCCAGGTCTCATAACACGCTGTGGCTTGCAAGAGCCAAAGCCACACCCTTGAGGCAGTCGATGTCGCAAATGGCAATTCGAAGCCACATCGCCGACGACCTAGTCCTTCGCCTGGAGTCTGGGACGAGCCTCCCAAGCCCACGCTCAGAAAAGCCGGCCGCTCTCATCTCTTCAGACAGCCAAGCGTTCGGGCTCCTTGGTGGCAGGTCGAACCGGAGTGGGCCGCTCGGAGGACCTTGGTGTCTCCAGAGGGCCCTGCGCTTGCTGCAGCTGCTGCGGAACAGACCCAGGGCTCGAAACTTACAACAAAAACATAAGAAGACATCCGAAGACTTTTTTTTTTGCTCGGAGAGGACTCTGGTCGACGTGGCTAGAGCTACGGTAGGCAAGCGCACGCGCCAAGGTGCTCGCGCTTGAGCGGGCGAACCCCGGCGCCGAGAGCGAACCCCGGCGCACAGAGCGCGGCTTGAAACACCCGATTCAAGGGTAATTCTGCATGCGCGCTGCATTCATCGGGGCCGCGCTGACCTGGGCCAGCGCGCCGAATACGCCGTCACCGACATCGTTGTGATCCAGCCAGGCTCTGGCAAATCTTCCAGCGCAAACGCCAAGAGAGCGCCAAATGCCAACTACCGATGCGGTAAAAAGGTGCGTGTGAAGGGTCATCCTATAGATGCCTCTTTAAACGCTAAAGCTCTTCAACGGTGAAGAATCGCATATGGACGCCAGCGCATGCACCATACTAAGGGCGACCGAGACATGTAAAGGAACCATGTTGGCCCACATTGCTGCCAATAAGGCAGCAACGCAAAACACTCGCGAAAACGCTGTCTGGCGAACACGTGTGGTTGGGTCTGTCCCGCCACATCCTCCACCCTTTCCACCCGCAGCACTCCGCCTTCCCAAATATGCACGTCTCTACGGACCAGGCTGAATACATCTTTCCTTGCCCCTTACGGCCTCAAGCCTGCGAAGTTGAAGCGACGCGTCATCCTGTACGTTCGAGGCCAATATGGGAAACGCGAGCCAACTCTGCTCAGCCGCAAGCAGACCTTGAATACGGGCGTAAACATGCGCCATGGTCCAGCAGTTTCGCACGCCGCCAGCGCACTCCTGGACTGCGGGCGGAGCCCGTTTGCGGGGTGCGCGTAAGGGGTCCAGGCGGTGCGGCACTTGACTGCATCAAGGGCGCCACGAAAAAAACCCTTGCATCACACCCCACGGGGAAAACAACAAAACAACAAAAAACTGTAAAAAGGAAGTGCTGCCGACGGCGAAGCAGCCCCAACCGAAACAGCTCAACCCCAAGCTGTCCAAACCTCTGCGCCGACGTCTGCTAGCAAGGCCAATGCCTTCCGAGCGGACCTCTCTTCAAAAACGTCTTGAAATTATGTACAAAATGCAGCGCAGATTGCACGCGCGAGAACCTTCTGATTACAGGGTCAAGATCTGTTTCTGTCAAGGTCATCTCGCTGTTTGTTGTCAAAAGAAGCAGATCAACTTCTGTCAAAAGAAAAGACATGCACACAATCTTGGAAGAAACAGATCTCATCCCGCTACCGTGGCCATCCTGTTCGCGACCAGGTAATTTTGCTCATGGGGTATGCTGCTGATTCACGCAGGTAGTTTAAAAATGCTCTGCCGTGGTCACTCGGTTCGCGACAAGTTCCTCATCACGGCACGGCGATCGTCAAGCTCACCCGGGGGGCCCCCTGCGTAGCGGGCCTCAGGCGCAGCTGCACGAACGGCCCCGCGACGTCGGGGGGGCGGCCACAGACGCTCGGGGCCTCGGCGCGGGCCCGCGCACCCTGCGGCGCAGCTCCCGGGAGATGGCACCCGCCCAGCACATGGCGCCCTCGGCGGCGCCCTCGCCGCCGCCCTCGGCGTCTTCCGGCGCGGGCATCGCGGCCGCCGCCGCCCCGCGGAGGTCCTCCTCGAAGAGCGCGCTGCGCTGCCTGACGCCCATCTCCCAGGGCGCGCACCTCGTCCGCTGCCGGGGCGCGGTCTTCAGCTCCCAGTACGCCTCGGACCGGAGGCGCCGGAGGGGGGCCTCTTTCTGCGCCGCTGCCATCGCGGACCACCTCCTGCCCGGGTACACGACTGGCTCGAGGAGCGCCGGCCCGAGGAGCGCCGGCTCGTCGCCGCTCTTCTGCGGCGCGGTGGCATCGTGGTCGTCATCGAGTCGGTCGAAGGTCAGCAGCTCCGCCGACGGGCACCGCGTGGGGACCGAGCTTTCTGCGGCTGGGGAGCCAGGAGCCTTCAGCGGCTCGGCGAAGGCAACATCGCCGCCTTGAAACGTCGCCATGAGCACGGGCAGATGCTGGCAGGGTGGTGGCCAACCAGCAGGCACGCGTCGCGCACAGGTTAGCCCTTGAGCCCTTGAGCCAAAACGGCTACGGAAAGACATCCGAAGACTTCTGAACACCTCCGACCCCAGGCCTCCAGCGCTGTGCTTCAATTCTTACTTATCACGGCGCGGGTGTCTCGACCACATCCTGGGGACCGCCTTTTCCTAGCGGGTCCCGTTGCCCGAAAGAGGCCTACGGAGGTCGACATCCACAAGAAACATCCGTCGCTAAAATATCGCGGCGCCCAAATAGCTGGCTCCCAGACTTCTAAATACGACCTTGAAATCAATGGGTCATGAGGAAAACGGGTCTCAGACCTCGAGCTTCCTTCTCTTGGCGCGTTTCTGTTACTGGCCCGCAGGCCACGGAAGCGCCTTGAGAGACAGACAACAGCACTGGGGACCTCTTTCCGTCATCGTTTTTCATCTGCATGGTGAGGCTCCCCATCCCCAAGAATCGGCCCCTAGAGCTCTGCAGGGGTGCGTTCTAGCTCGGATTTTGAAGGAAACCCAGCCGTGGCGCCGGGGATAACCCTGGGCCCTGGGTACAGAAATCAAATCAGACAAAAACCTGAACAAATCTCAAGCCTCGAATCTCGATTTCTCCCTCCCGCCGCTGGCAGCGGGGAGGAAGGGAATCCCACCGTCGTGGTGACGAAAGAGGGCGGCCAAGCGGGGTCTTCCCCTCCTCATCATAATCATCGTCGCCTCCCCCCCTCCCCCTCTTTTCCCTCCTTTTAGAACTTCCCTGCGCTGTTACGCTCCAGTCCCTACCTTTGCGCCCGTGCCGACTTTTTTGCGCAAGCCAATTTTCTGACAGCTGTGTGCCACCTTTCGCTGACAGGCTGATTGCTTCATCGGTCTCGCAATCCACAACATCCTTCCTTCCCTTCATGCTCCTCGTCGTCTCCCTCCCCCCCACACTTCTTTCTCCCCCCTCTTCCTCGTCCATGTAATGGCAGACTGCGCGGTGACCTCGAAATCCGCAGAGACCTCACCGCGCGGTCCGTCACCACACGGGTTTTGGACCCTGGAGGCCCCAGTTGCCCGAGACATGCTCGGAGAACGACCCGAGTCCCAGAAGCGTGCGGTGACCCCGAAGCCTCGCAGACTCACCTCTCCAACGGAGCCCTGGACCCCATCTTTCTGCGCCCAAGCCCCATCTTTCGGCGCCATTTTTCGAGCCGGATCAATCTGTGAGGGCCGGGGCCCGAAACCTGGCGAAAACGCCTGTGGTGAACAAAAATGCAACGTTGGGATCTGAAGGGGTAGGGGGCCCATGGTCCAACAGAGGCCTATGGGGTCGGAGCAGATGGGGTCGGAGGATCGCGTCGCATCGCCGATGCATCACCGATGCATCGGTGATGCATCAGCGATGCATCGGCGATGCATCGGCGATACATCGGCGACGTCAACGATGCATCGGCGATGAACATCAGTCTCCACATCGAGCCGCATCGCCGATGCATCGGCGATGCGGCTCGATCCTTCGACCACATCTACTCCGACCCCATCTGGGAAGCCTCGGGAAATACACACGTTCCTCTCCGAGAGGGGCCTGCTGGGCAGGAGTAGAAGAACAAAAACGGCATAAACACCGACTGTTGGTGCTCCGCGCGAATTTCTTGGGTCTACGCTGGACCACCCTCCCTGGCGCGCAGAGTGCGCCAGGGGCGGCGCCGGAAGCGCCGCCAGCGGGGCCCAGCGCGGATCCAAGAAAATCGCGCGGAGCGCCAAATGTTTAGGCTTATGGAGTTTTTTCTTCTTCGAAGAAGTCCTCCACGACGCCCTTGGCGCGGTGCAGCGCGGCACCCGCAAGCACCCCGTCGCTATTGGCCCGGGATCTCACCTCGGGGGGGAGGGGCGGCGGCGGCGGCGGCCTCGGGGCCTCCTTGCCGCTGCCGAGTGCTGCCCTCACCCCTCCATGATGGGCCTATTTTCCACCACCACTACCATATGTAGGAGAGGGGCGAGGAGGAGGAGGAGGAGGAGGAGGAGGAGGAGGAGGGGAGGAGAAGGAGGAGGAGGCCTTCTCCTCCGTCCTACATGTGGTGGTGGTGGTGGAAAATGTGACCATCACTCCAGGATCCTGGGGTTCCAGGAACAAGCTATGACATAAGCAGAACCAGGGCCGCGCGGATTCCTTGGATCGGCGCGGAACGCGCCAGTGACGGCGCCGGAAGGAGGCGCCAGGGGCGCGGCCAGGAGTCTCCAGCGCCGATCGGAGACATCCGCGCGGACCTCCGGAAGGTGATGGTTCGGGAGAGGTGGGGTCTCTGGAGGTGTCAGGGCCTGTCTGGGCCTTTGGGAAGTCGCAGGGGGCGTCCTCGGGGGGGTCCAGGGTTTTGTTCCCGACGGAATTCGACGCCCACTTGTCCCTGGTGGCGCCCGCATCACGGCGATCGCAAGACGCATCGAACACTATGAATATATCAGCGTTCGGCGGGAACCCCCTCCCTCCCGCCCCACACAGACACTTGACGTCAGACAAGGAAACGCCATGAACGCCGAGCGGTCGAGCATGTGGCAGAACCCGGCCGGGGCGATCCCAAACAGCACGGTGGCATGTCATCAGATGACGGCTGCTGGAAAACCGGAACCAACAAAAACTGGCCATCTTCTGGGGCGGCGATACTCCCGCCAGCGTCCACCAACCGTCCGCCGAGGAAGAGATGCCAACTCCCTGGGTCCTCGAAAGCGACGGCCTTTCTGCACATATGGTGCCCAGGCAACCACCGCGCCTGGGGAGGTCAGGATCTGGGACCTCGCCACGCGTTGGGAGGGCGGCCGCCCTCCAAAAGCCGCTGCTCATCTTCGCCGCCGTCGTTTGCGCAGTTCTGCACTCCACGTTCGGGGATCGAGGACGGACGGGGGGGGTGCCTGCACGTCGTCGTCTTCGTCGTCCTGCTCGTCGTCGTCTTCCTCATCCTGCCCGTCTTGCTCATCCTCGTCGTCGTCCTCCTCCTCCTCCTCCTTCTCCTCTTCTCCTCTCCTCTCATGTTTCTCCTCCTCCTCCTCCCCACGCGCATAGTTCGGTCGATTCTCCCAGAACATCGGGGTCCCTGAAGCCCAGGGAAGCATGAAAGAGCTCCTCCACAAAAGCACGCCGCTTCCAAAAGCTGAAGGACCACCCCCCTTCCACGCCGCAAAGTCATGGGCAGGAAACGCCGAGCCTTGGCCTGCAAACGCAAACACAGGGTCTTGCAGCTGGGCCGCAGTCGCCTGAGCCCGCAACCGGAGTGGCCTGATCTCCGCCCAACTGCTGAGGGCAAGGAGCAGAGAGAGGGGAAACGAAAATAAGGAAGGTGAAATACACGAACGAGAGCCCAATAACCCCACCGGGCAATCAGCTCGGGGTGGGGGGCCAGCTGACGGAGATAAGAAAACTTGGGCACAGCCCGAGCGTTATATAGGGGGCGGCCTGCTCCTTGATTATTCCACTAACCACCCCCGCCCACCCACGAGACACCCGCTCCCACATTTCCTCGTCAACAGCTGGGCCGATCCACGCCCCTCAGCACTCCGCAGCAGGAACAGACGGGATCTCCTTCCAAAAAACACCAGTGACTGAACTAGAGCTGCCAGGCGAGCACGCAACGCTGGGGTCAGTTCAGCTTCTGGAGGCATGATGCAGCACTTGGGCATCCTAACTTGCAAGCCCGCAAGGACTTCGGTGGCACTGAAGACTCCATGCGCTTTCGGAAGCGCCTTCAGAGCTAATCCCACGTCGTCCGCGCACGCGCGCCCGGCTCAGACCGAAGATCCCTCGGCAGAGGGTCCACCGATATTGCCCACATTGAGCCACCAGCGGGATCCCCCTGCATCGCCCCCGGCTGATCCCACAGAAGTGAAGCAGAGTCCCCAGCTGCGCTACCTTCGCCGCCGCGAAAGTGCACGAGGCCTGAAAGAATGCCAGGAAGCCTTGGGGCACCCCCAGGAACCTGGGCACCTCGTAAAGGAACGCGTGGGCGAGAGAGGGGACAGCGTTGCCAAGGTCAGAGAGGAAGAGGATAGGGTTGCGGCCCTGGGCTTGGCTGGGCACGCCTTCAATCCTGGCCGCCGTCTCACGAAAGTTATGTTATCCAAGGAGTTGCGGCCCACTCAGAATCCTCGCTGGTCCTCCCGAGCCTGGGTGCTTAGCGCTCCCTTGAATTAGAAGTTGCAGGCCGACGAATGCAATTGTGGCATCAGCATTCGCGTCGTTGGAAAGCAAGAGGACGCGTCGCGCCCGCCTCTCTGACTACCCGCTGACAGCCCCCCCCCCGCTCCCACTTGGGAGCAAAGACAAGCAGGAACTCATTCAAATCTACGGGAGGAGAAAAACCACCGAGGAGGAGCCGGGGGAGGTCCCGGAGGATCCCGGAGGATCCCGCACGAAAGGGAATTCTGCTGCCATGCTGCATGGGGTAGCCCGTCTGGGCCTGGAACAATGGGTTTGGCCTGCTTCGGGGCCGCCTGGGTGGTCGACGGCGCCGGCGGCCCCGCGCCCGGCCAGCCGAGCGGCCGCGCGCTCAGCCAGGCATTCGCGAACGCGGGCGACAGGTGGAGACTTCCACGGGGAAATTATCCCGGCAAAGCAACCTAACAACGATGTGTAGGAGCATATCTGGAAGCATTCCCCTCAAGATTCACATGAGAATCCAGTTGTAGAATTCTGCTGTTCTCGCAGTCGCAGTCGCATTCGCGATGAAAGTCGCAGTGGCAGCGGCGGTCGCAGTCACAGCCTCAGCCTCAGCCTGCCTCAGCCTCAGCCTCAGCCTGCCTCAGCCTCAGCCTCAGCCTGCTTCAGCCTCAGCCTCAGTCTGCCTTCAGCCTCGGCCTCAGCCTCAGCCTGCCTCAGCCTCAGCCTGCATCAGCCTCAGCCTCAGCCTCAGCCTGCCTCAGCATCAGCCTGCCTCAGCCTCAGCCTCAGCCTGCCTCAGCCTCAGCCTCAGCCTGCTTCAGCCTCAGCCTCAGTCTGCCTTCAGCCTCGGCCTCAGCCTCAGCCTGCCTAAGCCTCAGCCTGCATCAGCCTGAGCCTCAGCCTCAGCCTGCCTCAGCATCAGCCTGCCTCAGCCTCAGCCTCAGCCTCAGCCTCAGCCTGCCTCAGCCTCAGCCTCAGCCTGCTTCAGCCTCAGCCTCAGTCTGCCTTCAGCCTCGGCCTCAGCCTCAGCCTGCCTCAGCCTCAGCCTGCATCAGCCTCAGCCTCAGCCTCAGCCTGCCTCAGCATCAGCCTGCTTCAGCCTCAGCCTCAGCCTCAGCCTGCTTCAGCCTGAGCCTCAGTCTGCCTTCAGCCTCGGCCTCAGCCTCAACCTGCCTCAGCCTCAGCATGCCTCAGCCTCAGCCTCAGCCTGCCTCAGCATTCAAAATGTGGCCCGGGAATGGAGTTCTGGGAACTCGAAGAACACGAAGTGGCCTACAGTTGGCTCCGGGCATTCAAAATCATGCCCAGGAATGGAGTTCTGGGAACTCGAAGACCACGAAGTGGCCTACAGTTGGCTCCGGGCATTCAAAATCATGCCCAGGAATAGAGTTTTGGGAACTCGAAGAGCACGAAGTGGCCTACAGTTGGTTCTGGGCATTCAAAATGTGACCCAGGAGTGGAGTTCTGGGAACTCGAAGACCACGAAGTAGCCTACAGTTGGCTCCGGGCATTCAGAATGTTGCCCGGGAGTTGAATTTGGGGAACTCGAAGACCACGAAGTGGCCTACAGTTGGTTCCGGGCATTCAAAATCATGCCCAGGAGCGGAGTTCTGGGAAGTCGAAGAACACGAAGTGGCCTACAGTTGGCTCCGGGCATCCAAAATGTGGCCCGGGAATGGAGTTCTGGGAAGTCGAAGAGCACGAAGTGGCCTACAGTTGGCTCCGGGCATTCAAAATGTGGCCCGGGAATGGAGTTCTGGGAGGTCGAAGAGCACGAAGTGTGCGACTGTTTGCTTAAAGCGAGCCCGGCCCTGAGCCCGGCCCTCGCTCGCTGTCCGCATGCCGCCCAGACCTCCCTTCTGAGTCATCAGATGGTCTCTTTTGACACCGCTAGAAACCTATCAGTCTTCGCTGTTAAATAAAAACATGAGCCCAACGCTGATGCCACGCCGAAGGCATCTCGCGATGCGCCGACAGCGTCTCGCCCCCAGGAGAAACGAGAGCCTGGGGCGGGAGAGACTTCCTAGGCGGGGCTCGCAGCTTGCCGCGCCTGCGTTCAACAACCGTGCACGATCTCAAAATATTGCACCCCTGCTGCGCTTGGAAAGCCATCGCCGCCGCCCCATCAGAGTGCGAGCGTTTCTCGAGCTGTTGCTGCTGGAGGGATTCGCATTGGCAGCGAATCTCAACCGCGCGCCTCAGCGGCGCGAACCCCCCCCGAAGCATCTGCGCGCGCTGCCGCAGCACGGGAAGTCGCGAGCAGCTTGGAGGCAAGAGGGCGAGAGAGGTCATTCCGATTCACAGCGCGTGGAACCGCGCGAAACCTGCTTCGCTTCTCATTCTGCGCATGATCATCCGAGCGGCCTTGCGAAGCGAGCGTCTATATTCGCGCTGCCTCGCAATCGCAGGGGGCCCTAGGAGATTGGGCGCACTGAAGAGGAAGGAGAAGTAGCGAAAGAAGGCAGGGGATCAGCAAATGCGGCGAGGGACAGGCTGCTCATGACCAGGCTGCTCTGGGCGCGCCGCGAACGACGCCCGCGGCGGCGAGTGATCAGAGGTGCCCCCCTCGTAGAGAGACTCACGCGCGCCCAACGCCGCGGCCGCGATGGCCCGCCGGAGCAGCAGCCAGCGGGAGGGTGGGCGCGTAGATCTTGTCCAGCGGCGCGAGCCGCTCCTCGGACGCCAACATGGCGCGTCGGGGCCTCGGGGTCGAGCTCCGCCATGCCACTGGGCGCCTCCTGCCAGTCAGCTTCGCGCTCACGATGTCGAGTGGTCGTCATCGCACCCTTGTCAATCTCTGGCGTTGCCAAGAATAGCGCTTCTCTGTCATGGGAACTGAGGTCGAACAACACCGTGCCCGTCGACCTCTGCGGACTACGATTGGCCACTTCCACTCCCGCACTGATCCGACTCAGAATTCCGCGCAGCATATCCTCGTTCAAGCCAAAGCAATGAACGCTGTAAACCACCATGACCAGATCCTCTCTGCGCGTGCCGTCTGAATGATCAGCTCGAGTTCTGATCTTCAATCTCTCTGCGTATCCAAGAATAAGCGCAGAGTATCGGATGCGCCCATCGGCCATTGCCACTTCAGCTGCAGCTTGACAGGTGCCCGTGATACGACTAGATACACGCCAGCGTCGCGTCGAGGGATCGATACAAACGTCGCCACTTTACGATGCGATAAGCCTATATGTGCTGCAGTAGTTCCTCCTCCGTGCTACGCACCTCCTGCAGCGCCAAAACGCTGAGAGTTAGAAGCGCCCTTAGCCCTGCACGCTTGGTCTTCCTGGCCGACGGTAGATGGCGGAGAAGAGCGCGCGCGTTCCACGTGCAGAAGCACGGGATGAAATCAGAGATGAAGGCAAACTTCTCATGCCAAGGCTTGAGTGCCAAGTCCTATCTGCCAGCGGACCTTTTTCCGACGCATGGGATAAACTTTGAATCTCGCCAGCGCCGTATGATTGGCCAAACCCGTGTCTTGTGCCGCCGCATAGTTCCAAAGTAATTTAGTTCGCTCATCCTTTTCCATGCAAACCTTGTGTTGGACACGCGGCGTGCCTTCCACGTAAACGATGCTTGCTTTTGCTGATATCGTGCTTCGCTCTCTTGCCAGGGTGCACTTCCTGCATAATCGTCGCCAGCCTCCTTGTCCGAATCTCTCTCCAAACCATGCGATCTGCTTTATCCAGCCCACAAAGATACGCGACGCACCCCCCTCGATCGTCTGGACACTGAACTGCCTCCCTTCACCCGAGCCGTCCTGAAGCCTGAGATGTTTGCAAGCATGCTTGACGTTACGCATCTCCGCATTCGCATCGCCTGCCATCTGCACCACGAACCGCTTTCCTGGAAATCTGCCATGCATTGACCATGCGTGCTCATCGAAGCCCGCGTCCTGCACCCACTTGGCCAGCTCCGCACGCACCCGCTCGATCGTCGCTATGGCCGTCGTATTTGCCACGAGTACAGTACCATCTGGGTCCCGGTCCTACTCGGGTATGCTGCCATAGTCCTTGATGGGCACCGTCGACTCCGCAATGGAGATTGAGCGCCTGAGCTGCTCCACTTCCTCGCGCATCTGAGCCAGAGCCTTCTCCGTGTAATTATGCTTCTGCCTGGGTTCAGTGATCTGCCCCTGGACATGCACATTGGCTACCTGGACGCGACCGCCTTGACGAGCGCCTCCGTGTGGCCATTGGCCTCGCACGCGCTGCCCGAGACCCGCTTGTCGATGCTGCTGGCGATGCCGGCCTTGAACGCTGCCAGTAGCTCATCCAACGTGCCCCGTGAGAACGAACAGGAGGGAGTCACAGCTGCTGCCGCCCCCCGTGGGACGAGGTGTGCCCGCAGCCCATGGGTCAGCACTTCCTTGGAGCGGGCCTTCCTCACGGTCAGCAGGGCGTTGCCCACCCTGAGGATGACGAGCACCAGCAGTTGCAGCAGGCCTGGAACCCGAAGCCCTTGCTTGCCGCAGCGCCCTTTGCCGCCTCCTTAGATCGAGACCGGTGCCCTCCGCCACTGGGACCACCACCGGCATTGCCACGGCTCTACTGCGGACTCGCGTGGGGGGCGGCCTGCCCATCTCGGGGCCGCGGCGAATGCAAGACAGCACAGAGGCCAAGAGGCCATCTGCACCCGAACCTGGCACGAGACGCGCCCGCGGAGGGGCACGCGCCGGGCGGATGCTGTGGCCAAAAAGGCTGTGGATGGATCGTAGGAGCCGTCGCCGTCGGAAACCGACTCACGACAGAGATTGGGGCCCAGAAGCTTTCTCTCTCTCTCTCTCTCTCTCTCTCTCTTTCTAGAGAGAGAGAGGGAGACAGAGAGAGAGAGAGAGCAACGGATGGCCCAAAGCTAATAGCTGATTCTCGGGCGTCTATAGCCCTTCACAGCGTTTAGCCTTGAGCCGAAATTGCTACGGACCTCCTCCTCCTCCTCCTCCTCCTCCTCCTCCTCCTCCTCCTCCTCCTCATCAGGACTCAGGACTCTGCGAAACTGGTCGTGCAAGCACAAAGCCAGCTCATCGGGGTTTAATTAAAACCTGACGGGGCCCTCAAAAGGCAATCGGGGCCACCTTCCCAAACTTAAGTTGGGTGCCAGGCACTTCTCCTTTTCCGTAGCTTTCGTAACTCGGAAGTGGGGAGGCGGGGGCAGAACAAGGACTTGACAGCTTCGTCCCGCTGCCCATGCTGAAACCACCGAAAATCGTGCAGTACACAATTGGCATCCTGCTGCCCTCGACCCATGAACTGACAAGGGAGTGGTGCAAGGCAGGAGCACGAACAATGATGTTTCTGAAGAGCTGAGACGTTTCGGCGCAGCTCGTTTTAGAGCTGGGGCTGACTTTCCTCAAACATTTGAGGCAACGAAAATGGGTACCTTGCCAAACGGGTTGGTGACTGACCACGAAAGGGCGAGGCTTTCGCTGTTTAGGGGCACGCCGAAGGACCCCTAACAGCTCGCGGGTCGGAGGCCATTCGGCCAGAACTTTGGCAGCACCCTCTAAGATGGACTGGTAGGCCTCCAGACTGTGGATGTGTTCATCCACGACGTCCTGGGGAAGATCGTGAGCCTGGGCACCTTCGTTGGCCATTCTGTCGGCGAACCTGTTGCCCAGGATTCGAATTCGATCTAGTTCGTCAGTGCCCCTCCTCCTCATGTTCCTCCCCCTCCTCCTCCTCCTCCCCCTCCTCCTCCTCTTCCTCCCCGTCCCTTCCTCCTCATCATCCTGCTTCTGGTCGGTCCGCTCCTCGCCCTCCTCCGCTTCTTCCTGGAACTCCGCCTCTTAAATTGCTTGCGCCATCGCTCGTCCTCAATCTCCTGTCCCCCCTCATCCGTCGTCCCTTCTCCTATCTCGCTTTCACTCCTCCTGCTCCTCATCTTCCTCGTCCTCTTCCTTCTCCTCCTCCTCCTCCTCCTCCTCCTCCTCCTCCTCCTCCTCCCGTCCCCCGACGACATGATTGTTCACAACGTCGACCCCCAGGTAATCTCGACCAATTCCCCGGGACTGATTCTTCATCATTAGTGGTTTCTGGAAGGTCCCGAGGCCTGACAAGGGCCCGCAGAGGCCAAAACTTGCGGAGACCCTCCCGTCGCATCTTGTGTATGACTCGAGGGAGCATGGGTCCTCCTCCTCCTCCTCCTCCTCCTCCTCCTCCTCCTCCTCCTCCTCCTCCTCCTCCTCCTCCTCCCCCTCCTCCTCCTCCTCCTCCGGCGGAAGGGGGGCTCGCCGAGACCATGCGCGTGGCCGTCACGCGGGGGTCGCCCAGCAGGTCTGGGGGCAGCCGCCGCGCCACGGCGGCGTCGAGCGGTACGCAGCGGAGGCCGCCGATGTCCCCGCCTGGCCGGGACGCCGGGCAGCGGGAAGCCCCCCTTTTACTCGACGAGGGAGCCCACGAGGCCTCTGAAGAGGGGCGACGTGCACGCGGGCCGAGCTGTCGCAGGACCGTATGGCCCTTGGAACTGGGGTGCTGCGCAGGCAGGGGGCGATCGCACACGCGCGTCAGACGCGGGGGCGGGCAATGGCATGCTGCGGGGGGCAGCGTGAAGCGAGCGGGAGGAAGAGTACGGTCAGCGTGCTACGTGCCACCATGCCGCTGGGCACGGCGTGGGCGTGTCCTCAGGCCCTCTGCCTCATCCTCGAAGCCTCAGTCCTCGCTCCTGAGGGGCCGGACCCCAAATTCTCGAATCTCTTTGGGATTGGCGCGTGCCCAGTCAGCGTGCCAAATAAGGCACGCGACATTAGAAACGAGGTGGCTTTTCTGGCCACGACGAGCCTCGGCCACGAGCAAGGTCCGCGAACTAGGTCTGAGGAACTGCCCGGAATCAAAAGCCCCTGCCCCGGCCACTCTGGAGCCCAAAGCGGTCCCTCTTTCAGCGTCTTGACTGTACGCGCCGCCGCCGCCGCTGTTTTTTGGCTCGAGCTCCAGCTCGCGATTCGGCTGCCTCTGGGAATCCTGGGCATTAAACCCCCTCTGGCCTGCGAGCCGCAGTCAGGGAAACGAACAAAAACATCCGCTGGCCGCGCCTGGCCTCCTTCGCGGGCGGGCGCGTGCAATGCGAAGACGCTGCGCTGCCGGAGAGGAAGAGGCGGAGGCGGAGGAGGAGGAGGATGCGCCCTGCTCAAGAGGACGGTGCACAGCCAGGCGCCCTCAAGGGGGTCCGCCTGTGAGACGTGCCCACTATACTGATTCAAAATAAAAACTGGCCGCCCGCATCTGCCTAAGCAGGCTCGACGTCCGGGCACTCTTTGAGCATGTGATGACATATCCCAGGGAGGAAGATGACGGCGGAAGGCCTCTCGGCAGGCCTTCGAAAATGGGGGAGTGGATGAGGGCCACGATGTCGTCGTCGGGCACCGAAGGGCGCGCTCAGTGCTTCCCCTGGCTGCCGTCCGACAGCACGCCAGTCTCCCCCTTGAGCATGCGCAGGGAGCAGTAGACGACGTTCGGGACGTTGAACCCGAACTTGTCGAGGCAGGTGCCGCCAGGGGCGGAGGCGCCGAAGCAGTTGATGCCGATGTGGCCCGTGGCCCACTCCTCCCAGCCCATGGTGCAGGCGGCCTCGACGCTGAGGGTCGGGACGCCCTTCGGGAGCACGGAGTCCTTGTAGGATGCCGGCTGCGCCCGGAAGAGCTCCCAGGACGGCATGGACACGACTCGGATCTTCTTGTGGCTCATCTCCTTCGCGGCCTCCATGCACAGGCCCACTTCGGACCCGGTGCCCACGAGGACTAGCTCTGGGTCCGCCGGGCCGATCACGGTGTAGGCGCCCTTCTCCACGTTCTCGATCGACGAGTTCGGCAGGTTGGGCACGGCCTGCCGCGTCAGCGCCAGGAACGTCGGCATGGACTCCAGCTTCGACTTCTCGAACGCCACCTTGTAGGCGCCCGACGTCTCGTTGCCGTCGGCTGGGCGGATGACGGTCAGGTCAGGGATCATGCGCAGCGACGGGACGGTCTCGATGGGCTGGTGGGTCGGGCCGTCCTCCCCCACTGCGATGGAGTCGTGGGTGGTGACGAAGATGGTGCCGGCCTGCGCGAGGGCCGCCAGGCGGATGGCGTTGCGCATGTAGTCGCTGAAGATGGTGAAGGTGGCGCAGTACGGGACCAGGCCGGTCTTGTGCAGGGATATGGCGTTGCAGACGGCGCCCATGCCGAACTCGCGGATCCCGAAGCGCATGTTGCGGCCCTCGTAGGAGTCCTTGAGGAAGTCGCCCGTGCACTTCATCAGGGTCATGTTGGACGGCGCGAGGTCGGCCGAGCCGCCGATGAGATCGGGGAGCGTGCTGGCGAGGGCGTTGAGGCAGTCCTGCGACCACAGGCGGGTGGCCTTGGCGTTGTCGCCCTCTGCGACCTTGGGCAAGCAGTCCGCCCAGCCCTCCGGCAGCGTCTTGTCCATGCAGACGCGCTGGAACTGCTTGGCCAGCTCGGGCTCCTTCTCCTGGTACTCGGCCCACACCTTGTTCCATGCCTCCTGCTTCTTGGCGCCCTCGGCCCCGTGGGCCTTGAAGACGTCGTAGACGCTGTCCGGGATCTCAAACTCCCCGTACTTCCACCCGAGCTGCGCGCGCGTGGCGGTGGCCTCGTCCGCGCCAAGCGGCGCCCCGTGCGCGTCGTGGCTGTCCGCCTTGTTCGGGGAGCCGTAGCCGATGATGGTCTTGACCTTGATCAGGGTCGGCTTGTCGGTGCAGGCCTTGGCATCCGCGATGGCCTTGCGGATGGCGTCCACGTCAGTGTTCCCGTCCTCGACCGTCAGCACCTGCCAGCCGTAGGCCTCGTAACGCTTGCCCACGTCCTCGGTGAAGGAGAGCTCGGTGTGGCCGTCGATGGTGATGCCGTTGTCGTCGTAGAAGACGATCAGCTTGCCGAGGCCGAGGTGGCCGGCGTAAGCGCAGGACTCGTGGGAGATGCCCTCCTGGCAGCAGCCATCGCCCATGATGCAGTAGGTGTAGTGGTCGATGAGGTCCAGCCCTGGCTTGTTGTAAACAGATGCCAGGTGGCGCTCCGCTGCCGCGAGGCCCACCGCGTTGGAGACGCCCATGCCGAGAGGGCCCGTGGTCACCTCGATGCCGGCCGTCTCGAAGTTCTCCGGGTGCCCTGGCGTCTTGGAACCCCACTGGCGGAACTGCTTCAGGTCGTCCATGGTGACGCTGTCGTAGCCTGTGAGGTGCAGCACCGAGTACTGGAGCATGCAGCCGTGGCCGGAGGAGAGGACGAAGCGGTCCCTGTTCACCCACGCTGGGTCCTTGGGGTTGAAGTTCATCTCCTCGGCGAAGAGGACGTAGCCGATGGGAGCCTGGCCCATGGGCGCGCCTGGGTGGCCACTGTTGGACTTGTTGACCCCGTCCACGGCCAGGAAGCGGATCGCGTTGACGCAGTCGGTCTCCACCTCCGTGCTCACGGCCGTGGCGGCGGCCGCCGCGGCGCCCCTCGCGCGCCGGCGCGAGCCGCCCGCCAGGGCGGCGCCCGCCAGCAGCGCACCGCACGCCGCCGTCGCCGTCGCCGCGGACGGGCTGGAGCCTGGGGGCGCCTGCGCCCCCGCGCCCGCATGCGCCCCGGCGGCCGCGGCCGGCGCGCGCGCCGCAGCAGGCCGCGCCGCGGGGCCCACGAAGCAGGCGAGGCCGCCGAGCGCGGCGGCCCCCGCGGCCGGCAGCAGCACCGGCTTGCGGCCGCCCGAGAGCTTCGACATGGCCGGCATCGCGCGCGGAGTCCACGGGTCGGGCCGGAGTCGGCGAGGAGAACAGGTTTATAAAGAGTGAGGCTTTCGCCAAAATGGCTACGGGGGAGGAGGAGGAGGAGGAGGAGGAGCAGGAGGAGGAGGAGGAGCAGGAGGAGCAGGAGGAGGAGGAGGAGGAGGAGCAGGAGGAGGAGGAGCAGGAAGAGGAGGAGGAGCAGGAGAAGGAGGAGGAGGAGGACGAGGAGGAGGGGGAGGAGGAGGAGGAGGAGGAGGAGGCCTGAGGAGGAGGAGGAGGAGGAGGAGATGGAGATGGAGGAGGAGAAGAAGGAGGAGGAGGAAGAGGAGGAGGAGGAGGAGAGGTCTCCAAGACGGCCTAAGAGGCCTCCAAGAGATCCTCCAGGTAGGCCCGAAGAGGCCAAGAACATCTCACGGCGCCCCTTCGGGCGGGCCAGAAACCAAAACCAAACCCTGGAGGCGGGGAGGCGGAGCGCGCCGGCGCCGCGCTGGGCAAGCGGCCGGGACACCAATCATGGCGCAAACATTAGGTCGGGCATGTCCTCCTACAGGCGGATCTCTGAAGGAAAATCAAAGTCGAATCAACGAGCGAAGCAAGTCAAAACATAAAAGAAAAATCGTCCCCAGACTACTTTTTGGACTATTCTTGAATATTCCTGCTGTAGAGGGGCACGTCCGACTTACCACAAACATACCATGTCGGAGGTTCACGAGGAGTTCTCGGCGCTGGAGCCCGCTGGCGGCGCCTCCGGCGCCGCCCCTGGCACGCTGCGGGAGCCCAGCGCCGATCCCAGAGATCAGCGCGGACCTCCAGAACTGCATGTTGACGTCATTACTTCGGAGAAGAAAAAGTGACATAAACATAAAATCTCGGAGGTCCGCGCGGATTTCTCGGATCGGCGCTGGGGCCCCCCGGCGGCGCCTCCGGCGCCGCCACTGGCGCGTTCCGCGCGCCAGGGAGGGGGGTCCAGCGCCGATCCGAGAAATCCGCGCGGACCTCCGAGTTTTTCTGTTTATGTCACTGCTCGTTCCCCTATTACTGGCTCCCCGAGAAGAGGGCGGGGCCCCATGGTTTCCACGTGCGGCCGCGCGCTCCCCCAGCGCGCGCAAGCGGGCCCTGGCATCGAGCGCCTCGCGCCCACGCGCAGCCCCTGGCACTGGTGGGCCACGCAGCCCCAGGCGCGGGGGGCGGAGGGCGTCTGGCTGTGCCCGGTGACGGCCCAGACGCCGAGCGGGCGACTGCCACGCGGCGCGGCGCCGGGGAGAGTGGGCGAGGGCCAGGGATTGGACCGCTTCCCAGACCTCCATGAGGAGGCCCACAAACACACAAATAAATACACACAAATAAAAATATTCCCCATATTTTCCTATATTTTCTAAGTTTTTGTCTTCCCCACCACTTCCCATATTTTCCCATGTATTCCGGGGGATCGACGATTAATTGTGTCTGTGTGTTTCTTCCCCTCCTGACTCCAGGCGGGCGTCACGAACACAAGCGAAGGCCAAGAGTGGGCACTCTTTGATACGCTCGCTGCCGATGCCGGGCCCTGGAGCTATCGAAAACAAGCAGTGGTGGGAGACCAGCCCCAAAAAGGTGTCGAGGAGGAGCCCCATGGGGCCGGCGTCGTCAAGAGGGCACGACGTCGGT